GATGACTTCTCTACTCTGAGAACCTGTGACTGTGTATGTGAGGACTTTCCTAATCTGAGAACCTGTGACTGTGTATGTGAGGACTTTCCTACTCTGAGAACCTGTGACTGTGTATGTGATGACTTCCTACTCTGAGAACCTGTGACTGTGTATGTGAGGACTTCCCTACTCTGAGAACCTGTGACTGTGTATGTGAGGACTTTCCCAGACAGGAAATGTTTGGCTTGTTTTGAAAAGTGTCAAACATCCAATCTATTATCTTTATGAAAACAGAAAAGGTACCCCCCCACACACTTTCTTGAGTGTTATCAGTTCTTACATCAGCGTCCTAGCTACCTTCGAGGTCACAGGGCCTGAGTTTCCCCTGGGTTGCTCAAACTGCCATGCAAGCTATGGCAGGGCAGCAGGGCCCTGGGAAGTCCAGGGCCATCTGCACGAGGGAGGGCCCTCTTAACGCTGATGAGCAAAGTCACCTTGAGTGGCTTGGTCTAAGTCTTCCTCCACTCATCTTTCCTGGAAAGGAGGATTGGGGAAGCTGTAGGAGGATACCAGCAGACAAAGCTTATCAGGAGATGGCTAATTTTAGATCTTTAAGGTGCTTGGGCTGGACAGGGATCATTCTGGGCTGCTGGCCTTAGTTGAGTGAGGCTTCGGAGCAAGGGCAGAGATGGGGTGTCTGATGGCATGACTGTCTATCACAAGGGACCAGGGCCTCTACTCATAAACAATAGTCAAGTACATTTTCTTAGCCTCACCAACTCTCTGAATGATCTGTGTAATACAGCAGCCCTGAACACTAATCTGAACACAAAAGGGGGAAAATGCAAATCAGTGTCTAAAGCAGGGAGCAAATAAGCAAAATGTGATTTGAAATAAGAGCCACATGTGGGGTGTCCTGTCATGCATCTGCAAGCACGGCACCCAGGGAACGGAGACAGGAGGCTACCCTGGGCTATAGTCAGAACTCGTCTCTAAAGGCCAAAAACCAAGGCTGGGGATACAGCTTAGGTGGTAAAGGTCTTGCCTAGGATCTTGGGTTCAATTCACAGCATCACATAAAACGGAAATGCCTGTAATTCTAGCACTTAAGAGGCAGAGGCTAGAAGATCACAAGTTCCTCTGTGACTACATCATCAACTCATGGCCAGTTGGGGAACGCCTGAAACTTTGTCTCAACCAACCTATAGACCAACCAGCCAAAAATCCCAAACAAACTCCCAATAAAAAAATGACAACAGGAGCTGGAGAGATGGCTCAGTGGTTAAGAGCACTGACTGCTCTTCCAGAGGTCCTGAGTTCAATTCCCAGCAACCACATGGTGGCTCACAACCATCTGCAATGGGTTCTGATATCCTCTTCTGGTAAAGATAGCGACAGTGTACTCACATACATAAATAAAATCTTAAAAAAAAAAAAAGACAACAGAACCCTCAAATCAAACTAAACAACAAAAAGAGTGAACACTCCTGTGTGAGTTTGCTAGCCAGTCTGACAAACTGACATACTAAGACAAACTAAGGTCTCTCAGTAGTTTATATCAGAATCAGCATCCAAGAATCCAAACTATTTTGTTGGCAAAGATCAGCTTCAATAGCGAAGAACTACCCGTCAGAAAGACGGGCAGGAGCAGGGAACAAGGAAAAGGCACTTTCTTGGAGCCCTGGCTTCTGAGACAACCGGGACAGCAGTGAAATAACACACATCTGACAAATCCCTGCAGTCAGGCGGATGCTCTGCCCAGATCCTAGACAACTCAGGTGCTCAGGCTGCTCCTCCGCACCAGCCCGACTTCCAAAGAAGTGGGCACTAAAGCCGCCATTCCTCCTGGACTGTACAGTCACATGGGACCAACAGGTGACTGGACCTAAGAGTGTGCTCTCTGACCTCTCTTCCCTCACCTGGAAACTAAGTCAAAGACACAGATGGTAGTTGGCTAATCCTGTGAAAGTATTGGGTGGCAACCTTGATAGATTACCAGAAGTTTACATATGCCATCCCTTTCTCACACTGATCAAAAATAAGTTTCCATTACAGTTTATGGAGCCAGTTCTGAGCTGGCTGGTGGTGACAGGTCTAATGACATCCCTGGAACGCTGAGCTCAGAAAAGGAGGACTGAAAAGAACCCAGGCTCCAGGAGCTGTAATTTTCTAATGCCCTACACAAGGAAAGAGCTGCAGCCCTTCCCCAAGGAAAAAGCAGCAGCCCTTCCCTTAGAAGGACTCTGCCCTTAGAAGCCAGAGATGGTCTGCGGTTGCTCCCAGGGAGCAAGGCTCCTCGGTATTAAAGGCACGGATCTCCTGGTCATGCTTTGTGGTAACTGGAAGGCCACTGAGTGCATTTTGTTGTCTATACATGTAAGTTATAACCGGGAGTTCACTAGTACATTTAAATGAAGTTTTAATTTTATTCTGAGACAAAAGGCTGTGCCACATCATTCCACAAAGACCAGTATGAGCAAGGCTCCTGAGCTTACCCAGAAGTGCACAGGCATACAGCTGGGAACTCAAGCCCACTGTGTTCCTTTGTTTTAGGCCAGCAAGCAATAGGGACGCACCAAAGTCTCTTTCTTCTTCCCACTGCAACAGAGTACAGCAGATTAATGTCTAGTAAAGCCATAGATACTTCATGTAAAATATGATTTTTTTAAATGACACCAAACAGCATGTATTAAGTAAGATTATGAAAATAACAGATTGTGTAGAAGTTATCCCGATTCTATAAATAAAAATTATTTATATTTAAAAAAAATCAGAACAGAAATGCCCTCTATATAACTAAGGATTCCTGGGTGGTGAAATCGTGAAATGGTTTTGGTTTTCTCCGCTGTGCTTCTTGTGATTTTCTGTATTTTGGTAATGAGCCAGAGCTTTTTACAGTCAGAAAAGAGAACAGAGTACTCTGGACCCACACTGACTCGAGAGAGAGTGTCACTGAGGCCCACAGACTGTCAAGTGTCACATTTATGCTGCTCCAGAGGGAGGGAGAGCACTAACAGCACAGCAGACATAAGACTTTTTCACGGTGTTAAAGTAAGCACCACCATTAAGTCACTTTTAGATAGATTTGTGCCTCTTAAAAACAAACCAGGCAATCAGAAACACTTAGTCACTGTGTTTTTCAAAATAGGGTGTAAAACTGCATGTCAATAAAATTGAAGCCTTTTGAGGAGACATGAAAAGAAAAAAAAAAAAGGCAAAGCCACAAGCCTCGCTGGGCCTGCCACACACCAGAAACAAATATGACTGGGGCAGTCCCTGGAACGCTGAGCTCAGAGAAGGAGGACTGAGAAGAACCCAGGCTCCAGGAGCTGTAATTCTCTAATGCCCTACACAAGGAAAGAGCTGCAGCCCTTCCCCATGGTCTCTGCCCTAAGAAGCCAGAGATGGTCTGTGGTTGCGGCTGCTCCCAGGGAGCGAGGCTCTGTGGCATTAAAGGCATGGATCTCCTAGTCATGCTTCCTGCAGTACAGGCACCAGTTCTTAGGATTTTCCTACATTTTGGAAAATAGTGGATCCCTGGAAAAGGAAACTCCATGGCACTTCCACAGCACAGATAAGGAAGGACTTCTAATTAAGGACCTGGTCACTTTTCTGATAAAACCATTCTAGCTTTTGGGTATGTTCTGGAGAGCAAACCTGGGGCTTTATGCCTGCTAATGACCAATAAACTACATCTCGAAAAGGTGACATTCAAATCTAGGAAGTTTACGTCTCCCATCAATAGCCTGAAAAGTAGGTCTGGTGCAGAATAAATAAGAAGTCTGTGTGTGTGTGTGTGTGTGTGTGTGTGTGTGTGTGTGTGTGTGTGTGAGAGAGAGAGAGAGAGAGGGAC